TCCTGGGATCTCTGCCGTCCCGTGGAGGGCCCCTGAGAGCGCCGCTGTCTTTGGCATGGTCCCTGGGGGCACCACAACCCCTGAGATGGCCCCTGGGAGCATCAATGTCCGTGGAAGAGCCCCTGTGGGTACCGCCGTCCCTGGGGGGGCCTGGGAAAGCCCCTGGGGGCACCAGTAGCCCTGGTAGGGCCCCTGATGGCACCGACGTCCCTAGGACGGCCTCTGGGAGCGCTGCTGTCCTTGGCAGGGATCCTGCCACCCCTGGGTAGGCCTCCGCCTCCCCTAGGAAGGCTCCTGAGGGTCACCGCCTTCCCTAGGAGAGCTCCTGAGAGCACCGGTATCCCTGGGAGAGACCCTGGCGGTGCCACCGCTACTGTGGGCGCCACAGCTTTTGGGAGTGCCCCTGAGGGCCTGCTGTCCCTGAGAGGGTCCCGGGGTGCATCGTCGCCCCTGGGGGTAGTTGTTTTTGCACTATTTAAAACTCTGGTAGATATGACGTTAAACCGCCCATCACATTTCCAGTATTATTGCATCCTGAACAATGAAAAGTTGACTAAATATCCAACAGGAAAACATAAGTTGGGGTGTTATGCTGACTGACTGCTCTGTTCTCCTATTGGCTGCAATTTGGTGGATTTACATTTCAGTCCACCAATCATAGACAAGTAAGGGATTGCTGGACGTATGCACTATGTACGACACCAAGATCAAGCAAGCTATAGGGCTCCTGGGAGGGGAAGCCCCTGGTAGGTCCTCTGGGAGCGCCGCTGTCCTAGAGAGGGACCCTGACAGCACCAGTGCCTCTGGGACGGGCCCTATTGATGCCACCACCCCTGGGTGAGCACCCGGGGTTCTTCTGTCCCTAAGGAGGGCCCCTAGGGGGTGCTTGTATCCCTAAAGAGGGCCCCTAGTAGATAAGGTAGATAAAGCATAGTAGATAAAAAAGAGTAGATATGGTAGATAAAAGAAAGTAGATACGGAAGAGTAGTTAAGGTAGATAAAGTTGAGTAGATGAGGTAGATAAAGTTCATTTCCGAGGAGTTTTTCGCTTTGGCGAGAGGTTGGACGGGGTGGGGTAGCTTTAGTACCCCCCCCCTTTTTTTATATTCTCAAACACTCCCTTGAGCACTAACTTACCCACTGAGATGAACGAATCTAACCTAACCTAACCTCAACTCAACTCATAGTTGGTTACATTATGTAAAAGTGACTTTTGCATAGTTCACCGAGTGAGATGAGGTTTGGTTCAAAGATACTCTACTCAAGATAGGAGAGCTACAGCTAAAATATATGAAATGTGTGTACGGCATAGTTGCCAGACAACTTAATTATAGCACCATCTATTGGCTGCGTCCAAAAGCTATTTGTTACGTCATAGACGTTGATGTGACGTCATGAGTGATAGTTTTTTACGTTTTCCATTTATTTTAGACATATCAATCTTCATTTATGTATGCATGTATGTATACATATAAAGAGAGAATGAAAACCTTACTGTATAATTTTCACTGACTCCATTGCCTCAAGATCTTAGATGAGTTCAGAAATTAAAATACACAAAATCTTTTCTCTTGCACAATTCTCATACAATTACTGCACGTGATGAATCACCTGTCATGCCGTTACATAAATTTGGGGAATAAATGACCTTGTTTTCAGTAGAGTTCTTGGCTATTAAAAGACATTCTTGTTGTTTATATTTATTGAAATAAACAAACACAAAACCAAACATTCAAGTTGTCTTGGTTACTAATGTATTATAATATTTAATCTAACATGATACATGTAAATATTAACATTACCAATAAATTAACATTAATTATTATTAAATCATGCACTATATATATATATATATATATATATATATATATATATATATATATATATATATATATATATATATATATATATATATATATATATTTCATGTAGATCCACAATGAAAACGTGGATAAGATCAATCTTGATTAAATCACACGTGATTTTATCAAGATATATATATATATATATATATATATATATATATATATATATATATATATATATATATATATATATATATATATATATATATACTATATATATATATATATATATATATATATATATATATATATATATATATATATATATATATATATATTTTTTTTTTTTTTTTTTTTTTAGTGTTTATTTATTTATACAGATATACATATACTGTGTATACATTATAATAAAGAAATGTGTAGTACAGTAGGTATACATTCAAACTATGAAATGTATTTTTTTAATTGCACTCTTACTGTATATTAGAAATAGTGTTAATTTTACCTATCTTTACTGATCTGAGGTATATCCACAGATGGCAGTGTTAGGTGATGGTCCATAGGTAGTTGGGACTCTTGGTTGAGTGGCACACTTGCTGTAGTGCCTGTGGATGATTCCTGAGTGTGACTGAAATACACAATGTCATCTATTGCAGCCTCTGATACTGTATGGAGTAAAGATATAGTCAGTAATATATAGTGAATACAACATGAATATCAATAAATTTTCAATCTATTTTTAATAATTAATAATACAGTACCAAACTATATTGACATATAACACTAATGTAAAGCTTTGGACAGTCTTTAATACTGTGAACATAATCCACTATGCATATCAATTAAATTAGGATATATAACCATGTATTCACTAATCTTGAATTTACAGACACAACCTGAGCAAAATACACTTGACATATGAGCTTGTTGTAAGATGTCTTTTGCTGGAAAATTGTGCTTGGTTCTCACACCATCTACGTGTACAGATCCTTCATCCATTTTACCTTAGTGCAATTAATGTTCTTTAGAATATTAATAAAATAATTGGATATTTTCCAAACATATTAACAGTTTAATCTTCATACGTTGTACAGTTAGGTCATCTACAAGTTGTCTTACATTTTAATAAGTCAATCCATATGCATACAATCCACTCACCAAAATCAAAGTCATGGAAGATAAAGGATCTGTCCCCCTTAATGGACCACAGGAGATAGTAGAGACAATCACCTCGTAAAGACCCCCCTCACCCCCGCCTCTCTCCCACATCCTCCGTGAACATGATTAGTTTAGGTTACGTAGGTTTGGCTACTTATGGTATGGTTGGGTCGGGTCGGGTCGGGTCGGGTCGGGTTTTGCATGCCACAGTTGACATACATTACTAATCATTACTTCAAGAGTTACCATGACTGCAGGTTCCACATGAGCTACTTCCATCATCCTTTTAATCTAAATTTGTCCACTTATAAACTTACTCGTCGTTCGGGCGGTTGGTCTGTGTCACACTGGACAACACGCTTCTCACAACTGTCCCAGGCTTGGACTCGAACCCACGACATAATATTGAGAGATACAGCTCCCATACCAGCCATGTACAGTATTTACAATAAGATTCTACAGAAATTACAATTAATGAATAATACAATGTCGTAACGTGACTCGGAAGTATGTAACGGGTTGGGGCGGGCCACTGATAGGATAATGACGTCCTTCCCTAATGGTGCATTTGGTGGTGGTCGTGGGGATGATGGGAGGAGGGGGGGGGGTCAGTATGGTGTGGTGGAGGTAATGACAAGTGAAGGAGTGGGACCATCAGTCAGTCAGATACGGTGTTCACTTCAGGAAGCATCTGTGTGGCAGCAGTTTTTTGTCTGGAGACTCGCGTAAGTCTTTTTTACATTAACTTACAGACCCAGACACAAGGCAGGATACTACGAGTGGTCTTAACTGATCCTGGTGGGGTTAGGTGACTTTCTATGGAATATACGGATATATGAAAAGGCTGCATATGTCTGGGTAAGTGATAAGCTGTGTATACTGGTAGGTGTGTGTGGGGTATTAGTGCTTATATATGAATGATAGGCGGTAAAATTTTTAACCTTAGCACATGTGACAGGATATGTTATGAACAAACAAATTTTCAGACATTATAATTCACTTTCTGCCAGGCTTAGGAAGCATGAAGATGATGATGGTGACGATGATGATGATGATGATGATGATGATGGTGACGATGATGGTAGAGGCGGCCTCACGTGAAACAGAGGAATCAGAGGCGCGTTACATTTACATCAACACCGACTCTCCCTTAACTATCGGTAAGAAACACTAACATTTAGTACCCATATTTACTTATTTTGTTAGCCACTGTAAACATGTTGTCTCCACCCACAAGGATCACTTACCTCTATTTCCTCCTGATCCTCCTCTTCCACCCCTAACTTCCCTGATCCTCCTCTTCCACCCCTAACTTCCCTGATCCTCCTCTTCCACCCCTAACTTCCCTGATCCTCCTCTTCCACCCCTAACTTCCCTGATCCTCCCTGTGACATGGTTCTCTTTACATTCATATCTCAGTATGTCTAATAATTCTCTCCTTGCACTCAAAACAGTTCCATGTAAATGAAAAAGAAAAGTAATACTCACAGCTTGGTATACTGTAGGTGTGAGATGGTAGCCAAGGGAAATTCTAATTTTTTCTCTTGGGACAAACAGTTTCTGCATTCCTGTTAAAGGACTGCGAATACAGTCGTTTCAAGAGAACTTCCCACTTGGTGGCGACACCTCAGGTTGAGAAAGAGAAACATTTACATTCAATATTTACATTTAATAAGCACTGATAATTAAATTAGCTTGAGTCTCTCTAACACTATAGCAAATTTGCATACTTCTTCACCACTTGTCAGCTTACATACTGTTTGCAAGTATTGTACTACTCAAGGCACATCAGTGAGCCAGGCTGAGATTCAGATAGTACCATGGCTTTGATTATCAAATAGTGTACATTACATGACCTCCCTATCATCATATGATAAACTGGCTTTTATTCAAGTTGAAAAAAGATTAAATACTAAAGTAAATATAAAATAGAAATATACAGTACATTAGTTTTCCTGTTACTCACCCGTATACCAAGGCGGATGTATGGCTGCAACTTCCCATATTTCATGTTTGTGGCAGCAACTGTGATAAAAGAACAGTATTAGAAACCTGTGAATAAACTATCCGACTCACAATACAGATATGAACAAAATAATTACTGGTGTGTACTTTGCCGAGTAATGATGTTATGGTGAAAGTTAATAAAACAATTCTTTACCAATACACAAATTATGCTTTAGACACGGATAAATCTAAGACAATGGAGAGACTAGTAGCATTATCAGGTGTAATATTTTGTTCCATAGGTGAACAAAAGTGGAATGATAAGAGGTGATAATGGTAATGTGAACAGGGTAGTAACACCCCCCCCCCTCCACACACACAATAATAATAATGGTTGCCCCTCGTGTAGCGACGATGACTGACCCGAGGGCCACCTAGGCGTGTATTTGTTTAAAGTGTAGAAACTGTCGCTAACACATCAACCACACCATAAGTTAACGAGTTGCATGACCCAGTGTCAAGGAATAGTCCGGGAAGACCTGACAACTCGTCAACTGCATTGGCTAACTATTACCCCGGAATAACGATCCACAAATCGATTAACATCCAGGTTACCACTTACTGCTGGGAACTTGCCCATAGTTTCACCCTGCCCGGGGATCGAACCCGGGTCCGATCGCTTGCGAGGCGAGCATGCTGATCATTACACCACAGGTCGCCTTTACACACACACACACACACACACACACACACACACACACACACACACACACACACACACACACACACACACACACACACACACACACACACACACACACACACACACACACACACACACACACACACACCCACACACGTGATCGTGGTGATTCTCCAACACTGTTCATCCTCTCTTTAACATACATTTTTCTCACGCATGTTAAAAATAATTCCCACAGAGACCACTGCAGCCTCTTGAGCACCCGGAGTTATGGCAGGAGCAGCGGCTGTGTGGTCTCCTCAAGGTCTTGCTGTTTTGGGAAGGTCTCACATTATCTGGCTGATCTAAAATGTCACGTTAGTGTGTGTGTGTGTGTGTGTGTGTGTGTGTGTGTGTCTTTCATTTTATCTTTCCGTGTGTTTTTTGTATGTTCCTACGTTATATACTTTCATACACCATCATACGACCTCATACACACTTACACACTCTCATTCAGTCTCATGCACTTTCATACACCCTTATACATCCTGATAACACTCTCATACACTCTCAAACACCATCATACACCATCATACACTCACACACCTCCATACACCATCATACACTCTCACAAATTCCCATAAACTTCTTCCATCGTATTAACATAAAACATTAACTATAGTTACAGTATCACACCAACACACATGGGCTACCTCACCTCGCATCGCCTCGCTTCCATACAACAATTGTCGTAAACCTCTCCTGAGAACAGTAATGGTGGTAATGTTATGGGGTGGGGTGGGGTGTACAACATGAAGAACAACTGTACTTTAAACCTAACATAAATCACGTGTTTACATAAATCAAGGTTGATGGCGATATACTTTCACCCAGATGACCTCCCTCCTTCCCCTCCGTCTCTGATCTATTACCTCCGACCTGAAGATCAGACACCCCAATTTATTTCACCTGATGATTAAATAACCTAACGTTACCTAGGGTGAGTTAAGTTAGGTTATGGTATGTTAGGATGGGTTGGGTTGGTTATATAAACGAACCATTATAGTCTTTAGAAAGTAGTTGAGAACAGCCTTGTCAATCGTCCAGTTCTCGAGGGAAAAATCCAATATTTGCTTTAATTTCCGGGGTGTGTGGCTGTGACTCGCCCGGTAGCAGGGATTACAACATCACTTTGGATAAGAAAGATAACAACATCATCACCTCCAATCGTGACTTGCTTGTGAAGGGCGTGTGGTACCTTGTTTGATGCTACGTACAGAAAGTTACAAGGCGGAAAGCGTCTCAGTAAGTTTTCCTTCAAGTTGGGTTAGAGTGAAGGAAAGTGTATGACTGTGGCTTGAAGTGAGAGTTTTTTCCTAACAACCGGAGGCCATTTTCAAGGTTTATTTTAAAGAAAACCATTGACAGGTTCTTTGCATGCGAGGGTCAGTATGTGGTTGTTCCTTACGCCCAGGTCTCAAAAGAAGGAGGAGGGGAGGGGGGGGAGGAGGAGGAGGGGGAGAGGAGGTGGGGGAAAGAAGAGGGGGTTGGATGTGGAGGAGGCAAGGCGAGGCACTACTCTGAATGGTATAAATAGAGACTGTGACGGCTGGTAGGCATCAGTGTGTGGACGTCTTCACCCCAAGCAACATCTCATCTCCTACTCCCTCAACATGAAGGTATACGACACTCTTATATACGGCCCTAGGTCTCTTATCTTTACTGGATCTATAGTCATGATTCGCCTCCTATGTCTACTTAACCCAATGTTTTTCTCAATGCAAAAGCAAGATTTTCGATTTATTTTATAATTTCATAAGTATATCGAATATTCTTTTTACTTTCGTTTGTAAAATTCATGATTTCTTGCAGTACAAGTAAGAAATTCACCAAAATCCCTGTAAGATGCTTCAAAAATCTGAGATAATCACAGGTGCGAATGTTATCACAACACACTTAACACCTGGGTGCAAATATACACCTGTGATACACCTGTCTTATACCTCCCCAGGCAAATATCCATTTTTTTTAAACTTTCAACAACGTTTTAAGTCTCGTTACTACACACAAGCAAAATCTTTCTTGTGTGAAATAGTCAGGAAATCGAAATCCAAATTTAATACTCGCCACTGCGCGCAGAAAGACGCGCCATCGCTCGCCTGGCGTAAATAACTCGCTGGGAAGAGGAGGACGTAGGCGTTAAGTGTTATAAACAAACGTAGCTGTTGACATAAGACGAGACATCTATCTTCTTACTTAAGTTGGACAAGTGTGTTGTTGTGGGATGGAACAGCAAGCCAGTGTTGTCGAGTGCTCATACTGGTGGCGTTTGTTATCAATTATGTTACTTAGGGCGCAGAGACGTACAACCAATCCAGTATACTCACTAAGTACAGTATACTCGAGTTATATTCCCGGCCTACTTACCCAACCTTTATTCCATTTTGTCACTTTTCCGAATATTTTAACCCTGTGCTAACCAGTGTTCCTCCCTAGCTTGATCTGAACCAACCTTAGACTGTGTTACTGAAGGAGGCGTGATGCTCTTATTGGAACCATTGTGTATCAAGATGTTTACAATGTGTCTATGGAACTAAGATCAGTGTCATGTTAACTTGTGACCCCTGAAACGATCCTTTAACTGAGTGTCTATCATTTTACCATTCATTGTACGTGATAATCCTTATCCTGTCATCTCTTCCACTCATTCATCTCCTTCTGGTCCGTGTCACGACTCAGGTGTACGTGGCAGTTCTAGTAGCCGTGGTGGCAGTGTCCGTGAGTGCCTTCCCTGAGGGCTATAACTATGAGCAGCCAAAACAGAGCTATCTACCCCCTGAGCCTTCTAACCGCGTGGAGGAGCCGGTGAGTAGAGAAATAGAGACACTATCTAGGTAAATAATGCTTTAACTTGTATTAATGCATATAAGAAAACTTGCATCAGGAGTAATATAACAGAGACACAACATCATTACACTCACTCATCATCCTCAGCTCTGTGATGACTCAGGTCTTTAAGCTTTTGTTTCTCTCTGGGTCCTACAGCAACAGAAGGGGATGCCTTATGACTTCGAGTGGGATATCCAGAATCAAGATTTCGGCAACGCTTTCAGTCACGTAGAGAACAGTGACGGCAGCACCACCCAGGGGGAGTACCGCGTCCTGCTGCCCGACGGTCGAACTCAGGTGAGGGTCTCAGCTGGTATCCCTAAAACACAAAAAAATTACCCCATGAGTACAATGCCCCCCCACCCTCCCCTTAACCATTTGGGTACGAGGTATACAAATTTCTCGTACTCAAGGGATCAGGGCTCTTGTACTCAAGGGGTAAATTAAGACAAGAAAAAATTATCTATTGATTAAATTCATTGAAAAAATAAGGATAAAAAAAAATAACTCATTAACTTTTGGTATTTATATAACTTAATCCGATATCCGTTTTACCATTCTGCTATATTTCTCTTTCATTGCTCTATTTCTTCTCCCTTTCCTTCTAATTACTCTTTTCCTCCACCTTCCCCATTTAATTGTTTTCTCCCTACTTCCTTTCCTCCTCTCATTCTCTTCTAATTACACAGTTTATCACAGTCTTCCCATTCTCTTTCATCAGGTGGTCAAGTTCTTCGATAAAGGAGGCGGATATAACGCCGATGTGACCTATGAGAAGTAAGGACCCCACCTCAACCTATCCTTGACCTCTCCTGACCTGACCACCGCACCTCTGGATCTTTCACTTGTTCTTACCTGTGTTTCTATAAGGAGCTAAAAATGCAATAAAGAAGACGAGAAAAAGATGTCGTGTTTACTTTAAGATTTAACCACGTGAAGATAATCTAATCTAATCTATTAATCTAATCTAACCTAACCTAATGGATTTGCAATGCAGTTTATATCATGTTCACGGTTCTTGAACTCTCCAAACGAGCTGAAAGTTCGTGTGTGGAAAATCAGAGTAAAGATACGTATTGAAACGCAGAGAAAGGTGGAGCCAATAAAAAAATTACAAGTCCCCTTAAAAGACATTTAAATTCAAATATGGCCGCGGGCCATCGTGACACCCTCATAGGGCGGGTCACAGTGCCCCTGTCCCCGAGTTAGACCAACAAGTTAGTTACCTTCGGTTGAGTCCCCCCAAAATGGTGTTCATTTCGTTTTCTCTTTAGTTCTTAAACTTAAAGGGCGTCTTAAAGGGTAGACTTCATTAATATTAATGAGTATCACATACTTTACTTTTATCCTCTTAGCCATTGATCGGCTCGTTAGCCGTACCTGGAGCTGGCGGACGCCCGCCCCACATGGAGTCACAGCTTAAGGTTGAATAAGCCGCAAGTACAGAAAACTGTGAGGGCAAACTTTTTCGGAGTGAGACTTGTGAACTCTTGGAACAATCTGCCAAAAAGTGTTGTGACGGCACCTAGTGTGAGCTCTTTCAAGACCAGACTTGACCAACACGGGAGCAGGTTCAAGTACAATCAGGAGCATGTGCATGCCCAGTACTTGCCAACAGTGTGTAACAGAGACGTGACTGATCGCCCAAGCGGCTAACGAGCCGATCAGTGGTGAAGAGGCCAAAAGTAAAAAAAATAAATAATCTCTCTCGCGCTCCGGTAGTTTAGGTTAGTTCCCCCTTCTTAACCCTTCCTAAGCGACCATTTTCTCTACAGGCAACAAGGAATCGTGTTCTATACCTTCTGTTATTAATGGCACACTGTAACAACATTTTATTTAGTACTGTGTTAGTATCTGTGCCGCCCTTCACGTACAGAAGGATTATTTGGACGATATTATACTTTAGAGGAGATAAATTATTTGCCACCAGACTGGTGCCTGCACTACGGCACCTCAGTTATCCAGTGAGATTAGAGAGCCTGTAACTGCCTAGCGTATACTATACTCGGGCAAGGGGGTCACCTAATTGAGGTGTATAAACATCTCAAGGGGCACTACTGAGTCGAGTGTCCTTACCTGGAGCTGGCGGACGCTCGCCCCACAAGGGGTCACAGCTCAAGGTTGAAGAAGCCACAAGTCCAGAAAATTGTGAGGGAGAACTTTTTCGGAGTGAGAGTTGTGAACTCTTGGACCGCCAGAGTGTGTTGTGACGGCTCCGAGTGTGAGCTCTTTCAAGACCAGACTTGACCAACACTGGAGAAAGTTAAGACACATATTCAGGAAGCAGTACATGCCCAGTACTTGTCAACAGTGCGTAACAAGAGACGTGACCGACAGCTCAAGAGGCTAACGAGCCGATCAGTGGTAAAGAGGATAAAAGTATATATTATTCTCATGCTTTATTTATTTTTTTAGAAATATGAAATTTGTTGTAAATATTATTGTTGGTAAAAATTTTACTAGTGTTAATTGGAAGCAAAAATAATAGTGTATAATTTGCTCACGTTCGTCACAGCTCTCACCCTATGTACATAAGCAAAACTAAATCATCTATATGTAAATTGATATTAGTTCATTACCTTTAATGCCTCGGGTGACGACGAACAGACATACATCATAACACAAAACATTAAATACCAATTTTCTTCCCTCTCCCCCTTTTATTTTCCTTGATTATGTCTTCCTTTCCTTCTTTTCTCCTGTGTCACCTTATCCTTCCACCCTTTCCTACTTCCTTTCATTCCCTTTCACTTCTTCATTTCTCCTTCACATCCTCTTGTATTCTCTGTTACGTTTTCTTCCCTAGTTTCCTCTTCTCTCTTTATCTTTTACTTTGTTTTATCACTTTCATCCGTTTCAATCTCTCCTCCTCCTTCCTCACTTTATAATTTCTCCTCCATCTCCCATTTCTCTCTTCCTCTCTCCTCTTCATCGCTCATCACCTTCTTCTTTCCCCCTCTCCCCCACCCACTCTTCCTCCTCCTCCTATTTTATACTCCCCTCACCTCCATATTTCTCCCTCCTTCTTCTCCATGATCAACAAACACATTTCTGTCCAACTTTCGAAATTTGCTTATATTTATGACACGATTCCTTGTGTACGCGAGCAGAACTTATGCTCTCGTTCAGGTGTCAACATAACTTAGCGAAAATGTTCCTGGAATTGGGAATGACAAGATTAAACTTTTCCCGCCTCGTGAACATAAGAAACCCACCGTTTATTTCACCTGATGATTGAACACCCTAATGATAACTTAACCTAACCTAACATAATGTAACGTAACCAAATTAAACCTAACTAAACCAAACTTAAATAAACTAAACCTAACTTAAATAAACTAAACCTAACTTAAATAAACCAAACCTAATCTAACCTCATCTTACTTAACGAAAGAAGGTATTGGTACTGTACATCTGAGACAGGTAAGAAAGTTATGACAGCTGTACAGGTGTGAAGTAAGAAAGCATAGGTGTTAAACATGTGTTGACAGGTGTTAAGCAGTTGTATTAAATATGTAACACTGAATGACACCTTATACCTGGCTAATTGACTCGATTAATAAATTATTTAATTAAACTTACGTTAATTGATGGTGAAATAAAGTAGTTTTGTCACCAGGTAAATTATTATCAGGTGAACGTGAGCTGAGTTGAGTGCTCATTATCTAGTTTGTACACACACACACACACACACACACACACACACACACACACACACACAACCCTAAATCATAAAGAACACAACATACTACCTCACGATCACAACCCACAACCTCACCATCATAACACCTTCCCATCACCCCACAACCTCCCTATCACCCCACAACCTCCCCATCACCCCACAACCTCCAGCCTCAAAACTAGTAAGCAAGAGACGAGTTATTTTGGTGGTGGTAGCGAGGCGTTGCTATCACATGACGGCAGCCCCATCTTATCAGCCCCAGATAAACCACCTGGACCATGTGACTGACTCAACACATGACCTCTGACTCACCGCCCCGACTCCTCTCTCATCTATGGTGTATTTCTAGACAATCTCAGTAATTTTAGGATTGTGAGGGTCGTTTCTGGGTCTGTGAGGAGTGTTGATGTGTGTGTGTGTGCGTGTGTGTGTGTCAGTGCGTGTGGGGATGGCGGTGGGGGTGGCCCGGAGGAGTTATCATGTGTATTGGTGGTAAGGGTGACTGTGTGTGTGCGTGTGATGTTGTTGTCTCTACACCACACACACACACACCGGGCGACGTGGCGGTTCTACTCAGGTGTTCTGCTCAGGTGAATATATTTTCGACTCATAATTTATAATATTTTACATCTATATCTCAAGTAATACCCAAGAACGAGTTGAACAGATGGGTACAAGTGAGTCAGGTTATTACAGGTGAGTACAGGTGACGTGATGAGTTTATAGTATTGAACAACGCCATCGTCCATAGTCAGCCCAACACGATCTCTGTACTAATGATTCACCTGCCCTCATATTATTTCACCTGATGATTAAACACCTTAACGCTACATGGTGGGTTAAGCAAGCATTAGGGTGGTTAATCTTCAGGTGATCCTTGACAGACACACACACACCGTAAATAGGTATATAGAAAACTTTGTCATTTCACAGGGGATACTGTACTAAGTCAAGCAGACATTTCTTATCTCAAGCGGCCAGTGTTCGGGGTTCAGAGTGGCTCTTTATAACACCTGGTTAAGTCTACCCTGTTGTCTGGCTCTGTCTGGCTTTGATAAACACCCTCACTGAACACATTATTACCAGTACAGACCATTTGTACCAGTGTAGGTGTGTACCAGTGTAGGTGTGTACCAGTGTAGGTGTGTACCAGTGTAGGTGTGTACCAGTGTAGGTGAGTACCAGTGTAGGTGTGTACCAGTGTAGGTGTGTACCAGTGTAGGTGTGTACCAGTGTAGGTGTGTACCAGTGTAGGTGTGAACCAGTGTAGGTGTGTACTAGTGTAGGTGTGTACCATTGTAGGTGTGTACCATTGTAGGTGTGTGTACCATTGTAGGTGTGTACTAGTGTAGGTGTGTACCATTGTGTATGTACCAGTGTAGGTGTGTACTGTAGGTGTGTACCAGTGTAGGTGTGTACCAGTGTAGGTGTGTACCATTGTAGGTGTGTACCATTGGCAGGTGTGTACCAGTGTAGGTGTGTACCAGTGTGGGGGTGTGTACCAGTGTAGGTGTGTACCAGTGTAGGTGTGTACTAGTGTAGGTGTGTACTAGTGTGGGTGTGTACTAGTGTAGGTGTGTACCAGTGTAGGTGTGTACCAGTGTAGGTGTGTACCAGGTGTGTACCAGTGTGGTGTGTACCAGTGTACCAGTGTAGGTGTGTACCAGTGTAGGTGTGTACAGTGTCTGTACCAGTGTGTGTACTAGTGTGTGTACCAGTGTAGGTGTGTACCAGTGTGTGTACCAGTGTAGGTGTGTACTAGTGTAGGTGTGTACTAGTGTAGGTGTGTACCAGTGTAGGTGTGTACTAGTGTAGGTGAGTACCAGTGTAGGTGTGTACTAGTGTAGGTGTGTACCAGTGTAGGTGTGTACCAGTGTAGGTGTGTACCAGTGTAGGTGTGTACCAGTGTAGGTGTGTACCAGTGTAGGTGTGTACCAGTGTAGGTGTGTACCAGTGTAGGGGTGTACTAGTGTAGGTGTGTACCAGTGTAGGCGTGTACTAGTGTAGGTGTGTACCAATGTAGGTGTGTACCAGTGTAGGTGTGTACCAGTGTAGGTGTGTACCAGTGTAGGCGTGTACCAGTGTAGGCGTGTACTAGTGTAGGTGTGTACCAGTGTAGGCGTGTACCAGTGTAGGTGTGTACCAGTGTAAGTGTGTACCAGCGGAAAATCCGTCACCTTCTATATCACAGAACAACAGTTGATGCCGGGTGTCTACTGATGAAGATTAACTATGAGAGGTCAAAAGTCACTATGGAAACACTACACTGTATGTACCACTAATACACGATGGAGACAAAATCAACTTACTTGGCCGGGATGTAAAGAGTGTCGTGATGGTTGGAGAGGTCATCCGGTTGTTACCTCACGAAGCTCTCTGTACACAACACTGTGAATGAAACAACCTATATTAATATTATATAACACGTCACTTTGTATCGAAGTTAATGATTACAAACTGCATAGACCATTAAACTTCTCCTCAGTGTTTCCTTACTGCCTAACGATACAACGCTATTTACACCGACCCGGCCTCCTGTTTAGCACACCACACTCGGCCAAGCAGGAAAGATTATACTGTAGGTGAAAGATTAGACTGACCTGTGTCTTGGTGGTTGATGGTTGAGTTTCCTTATTTCATGACAAACTAAATGATTCCCGCAACGAAGGTGTGTTCCTGCGTCTACCACAGCTCCTCCTTCCACCACAGTTGACTGGTAACTGTCCCTCATGCCTGTCGTGCCGCTCACTCCACCCGTTTTTTATGTTTGTTTAGAAAAAAATTTTCAGGGGGGAACTTTTGTAATTTATGAAGGATATAAAAAGTGTAGCATTTTATACTTTATACTTTAACATAATAATCTTGGTACATTTTCATAAGCGATAAAATAGATAAATTCAATAATTACATTTCAAAATACTCTCATTATGTCGTAAAAATACATAGACATAAATTATATATAATAGTCTCCTATCTGTCCGCACCTACTCGGTATTCTGTCTCCTGGATTATTTATATACAGGTATTTATAATTACAACCCTAAACTTGATGGCAAAGTGTACCACTGTAGGTGTGTACCACTGTAGGTGTGTACCACTGTAGGTGTGTACCACTGTAGGTGTGTACCACTGTAATTGTATGTGTTATATTTTTGTAGTTTTATTACTCGCTGGAAGGACGAAAAGGTTATTGCCTATTGATTCACCATTGTTCATTTGTAGGTCTTTGTGTGTGTGTGTGTGTGTGTGTGTGTGTGTGTGTGTGTGTGTGTGTGTGTGTGTACTCTTGTGTGTGTGTGTGTGTGTGTGTGTGTGTGTGTGTGTGTGTGTGTGTGTGTGTGTGTACTCGTGTCTGTCTGTGTGTGATGTACGAACCTGTATATGTAATAAAGTATTCTCCTAGTCTTCGTATTTCCACAGATCATCAGGTGAGCTTGGAACAGACAGACCTCCTGCCCTACAGTGATCATGGCCACCAGCAGTAAGTCTGAAGGAGGACCACCACCAGCGGCCACCAGACCCGCCCCAGACGTCCCTCCTACACCCTCCACCAGCGACACAGATCTCCTGCTGACATACTCTGATAATCCTCCAAGGTACTCCTCCATCGACCCTGCCTGGGATGTCCTACAAGGAGAGGCTTCGACAGGTGAGAGGGGGTGGGTCTGTCTGTCTGTAAGGGCGCTCTGTCCTTTCTTGCGACAGTCCCTTTAAGATTCACCATCACTCACCACTAATCACTTAATAACAGACAAGAGGCGCCCTTAGTGTTCTCTCCTTGAAGATGACTCACAGGGTCCTTCTCCCGCAGGCCAGACAGCAGCTACGACGCCGCCTCATCCACCCTCTGTAGGTCCTGTCCCCGTGGTGGTCTGTCATCCTCCCTCCACCCACACACCGCCCCTCAATCCCAACTCCAGTAAGTGTGTGTGTGTGTGTGTGTGTGTGTGTGTGTGTGTGTGTGTGTGTGTGTGTGTGTGTAGATTATATATACCGGTCACATATATTTATTATATATTCATAGGAACACACAATACATATTCATTTGAAAGGAACAACGAAATTCTATTATAAAAATTACATTATCATAGAAAGCCAAAATATAGAGAGAAAGTTTACTACGGTAATACAACCATTCAACAATAATATAAAACCATATTTGCAATTTCACTATTTTGGTGCGAAAGTATTGCCAATTTATGATTAATTGATATATAGACAATAAATCACACAATAGTACATTACGTTCATTGTAACATGTTTGGTAATGTTTTTTGTCTATAAATTACGCGCGCGAGTGTGTGTGTGTGTGTGTGTGTGTGTGTGTGTGTGTGTGTGTGTGTGTGTGTGTGTGTGTGTGTGTGACTTAGAGGAGATAATAGAGGTTTTAATACACAGGATGGTGGTCGTGGGTACCGGGTCCAGCCCAGTACTTCCCGCCTGGCCTTGAACACATGACTGACGCGACCGAACTGACCATCAAGAAGAAAGGTGAGATAGATAGATAGATAGATAGATAGATAGATAGATAGATAGATATAATTGTACTTAAAAAACAAACACCAAAATAAAACACCACAAACTCAATATAAACACCCAAAATATCCTGACCATTAAGATAACTCACACACTCTTAAGATAACTCACACACTCTTAAGATAACTCACACACCCTTAAGATAACTCACACACTTTTAAGATAACTCACACACTCTTAAGATAACTCACACACCCTTAAGATAACTCACACACCCTTAAGATAACTCACACACCCTTAAGATAACTCACACACCCTTAAGATAACTCACACACTCTTAAGATAACTCACACACTCTTAAGATAACTCACACACCCTTAAGATAACTCACACACTCTTAAGATAACTCACACACTCTTAAGATAACACACACACTCTTAAGATAACTCACACACCCTTAAGATAACTCACACACACTCTTAAGATAACTCACACACTCTTAAGATAACATACCTCGTGATCTTGACCCAGGGAGGACGTACAGGGTGATCCATAATGAACATCAGATCTACATCGTCAGGAGGAAGAAGGATGGGTTTGGGGGAGTCAATATTAAGATTCTCAACAACGCCAACCTCGAGGTGCTCATCCTTAACAGAACCCTGGAGGCCGCGAGGTGCTGCTCCTCCACTACGGTAGGTGGTTGTGGTTGATTGTGGTAGATGGTTGTGGTTGATGGTTGTGGTATAGGTGCTTTGGTTGATTGTGGTAGATAGTTGTGGTTGATTGTGGTAGATTGATTGTGGTAGGTGGTTGTGGTTGATTGTAGTAAGGTGATTGTGGCTGATAGTTTTGGTTGATTGTGGTAGATAATTAGTATTGCATTAATTAAACTTACAAAAATGACCTTCGTTAACTTATAAATATTAAATTACCTGTACTTACCTGGCTTCTCGTTACAGCACCTGGAGGTAATGTTCCCGCCAGGTAACATGGTGGGCGTGGTCCAGGGCAACAAGAGTGAGTTCTCCGTCCACAACCCTTCAGGTGATCTGGTGTTCCTGCTGGAAGTAGAACCTGTAGGCTGCTGCAGGAAGGCCGACTACCAGGTGAGTAATTAGGTGGTTAAGGGTGATACTAGATAAGCGTCAGGTACCAGGGGGAAGTATTAGGTAACTAGGTGCCAAGTTGTACATTGCCTTAAGAAGATAAAACTTTCATTTCACTTTAAGAAACAAAAGATTTTATTCACCATAATAACAATACCCACGTAACTAACTCCTCCACCTTCTCCCCTCCTTCCTCCTGTAGGTGGTGACGAAGGAGAGGTTCACCATAGGTCGTCTCACACATCAGAAGACCTCCATGATCAGAGGACGGAAGGGCATGGCGGTAACCTTTCCTGCCAACATGGAGATCCGCAACAAGGCTCTGGTCCTTGCTGCGGCTCTGTCTATTGTGAGTCTCTGGGGTCCTGGGGGAGCTATGAGGGGGGGGGGGAGGGTTATCTGAAGCTCGGAAGGCTATAAGGGCTAAATTAGGAGAGCTAGGGTTGGTGTCAGGGATTATGGAAGTTATTGATATAGTACGGAGTTATGAAAGCTATGGGGAGCTGAGCTAGGAAAACCATGGGGGAGCTGAGGCAAGGACAACCATGAGGTAGGAATATCAGGAACGCTGCGGTGAGACGGGAATGCGAGGAATGAGGAACGCAGCTGATGGAGGGAGGATGAGGACGCTTGGAATGGTAGACCAGTTTGTGCGACCTTATTTGGTATTCGTTGCTCTGAAAGCTAAACAATGTGGAGCGTCTCTACTGATGAAATGTTGGAGGATTAGTCTGTTTATTTACTAAGACCACACGGTTATGAGAGCTTAGTTGTCGAGGGGGTAATCACAGGTAGATATACAGGTAACATGGACAGGTACAAGGATAGGTATAAGAACAGGCACAAGGATAGATACAAGGGTAGGTAAAATTACAGGTGCAATCAGAGTGTATAAATACAGATACCAAAAAAAACCAGGTATAAACTCAGGTATTTCAAGACGACATCAGTATATAAACAATGTATTAGTGAACAATATACATCACTACCTCAGTCACTATACCTCCTAACCATCACTACTTTGTCTTGTGTTACAGAGAGACAGACACTGGTAATTGGGACGACTCACCTGACCCTCACCTCACCACCCTCTAAGTGAACACCTGAGTAACAAAGGTTCGTAAGATAAATAATCCTCGTAAGTGATGATATAAGAATGTACTTAACTGTCTGACTTACGATAAATAATGAAAATAACACAAAATAATTAAAAATAAACTTAAATTTGATCTTATGGGGAATATTTAACCTACGAATTAAAGGTGAATCTGCTCATTAATTAGTTCATTATACCGTCTTAGAGTTATATAATGCTATGTAATTATAAGGAATTTATCAGATTTCTATATTCATTTACAAATACTTAGAATATTTCCTATAAGCTGTGATTATACGTATATTAAGATTATAGGAAGCTGTTTGGTTATTGGGTATATCTATCACAGTTAGTAGATGTTAATAAGTGTTTCTCTTCTCTTCGTGAGTCAGAGAGAACAAGTGAGAGATGAGAGAAGGGGAATGAAAGTATAGAGAAAGAGAAAAGTGAATAGTGTTGCTGTTAATTGTGGTCTACTACTACTACTATTACTACTATTACTACTACTCACCTTAATCCCACCTAGTTGGGAGTTTAATTAAGCTACCCAGGTAAACCGGACACCTGTCTACTGCACTGGCTAACATATTGAATGTATAATGAAATAAAGTGTATAATAACCTGAGGTGACTTTGATTATGAAGTGAAATGATCCTGAACGTGACGTGACTGTGATGTACAAACAAACAAATGACATGTAAGAGTATGATTTATGATCGCTATATATCTATGTTAAAGATGCGTTGCTCACACACACACACACACACACACACACACACACACACACACACACACACACACACACACACACACACACACACACACACACACAGGTAAATCAGCAGGTGTTCAGAAGATTTGATTTACGTCGTAACTCACTTATGTTGTGATGGTCGATAGGAACTCTTTCAACCAACACTTTGATGATGCTCCAGCCCTGTGAGAGAGAGAGAGAGAGAGAGAGAGAGCCCATAGTCACAACTTCACTACATGCAAAAACAAAAAAATATTACCACCCCCCAAAAACACCCCAAAACACAAATAAACAGAGCATAACAAACACAAGAAAGAAGACAAGGATAAAATATCAACAATAACGAAGAAGGAAGAAGAGAAAATAGTGAATAAAGAAGGAAGAAGCCGTAAATAAGAGAGCAGAGGTAGGTGGGCATTAATGGCACTCTGGAATTTCCTCATTAGATGCGATAACAAGTGCCTTTATGTGTCGAGGCACTGTTCCAACCAAGAGGCGTATAGTAGAAGAGGCTCATGTGGCTCTTCACGTTACTATAATGTCTACAGGTTGAATTATAGAGGCTACAGCTGCTCTATATATGATTCTGTTGCCTGTAGGTTGAATTATAGAGGCTACAGCTACTCTATATATGATTCTGTTGCCTGTAGGTTGAATTATAGAGGCTACAGCTGCTCTATATATGATTCTGTTGCCTGTAGGTTGAATTATAGAGGCTACAGCTACTCTATATATGATTCTGTTGCCTGTAGGTTGAATTATAGAGGCTACAGCTATATATGATTCTGTTGCCTGTAGGTTGAATTATAGAGGCTACAGCTGCTCTATATATGATTCTGTTGCCTGTAGGTTGAATTATAGAGGCTACAGCTGCTCTATATATGATTCTGTTGCCTGTAGGTTGAATTATAGAGGCCACAGCTGCTCTATATATGATTCTGTTGCCTGTAGGTTGATAGAGGCTACAGCTACTCTATATATGATTCTGTTGCCTGTAGGTTGAATTATAGAGGCTACAGCTGCCTCTATATGATTCTGTTGCCTGTAGGTTGAATTATAGAGGCTACAGCTGCTCTATATATGATTCTGTTGCCTGTAGGTTGAATTATAGAGGCTACAGCTACTCTATATATGATTCTGTTGCCTGTAGGTTGAATTATAGAGGCTACAGCTGCTCTATATATGATTCTGTTGCCTGTAGCTCTATAACTCTAAAAACACCTGATTTTAAGGATATCCGAGACAACTTTTAGGTACGTATAATCAGATTTAAGGGATGCTGCTATAAGATTTAATTTAAACGTATTTAAAGTCATTAAGCTACGTATTTTAAGACGAAGGTTCTTATTTTATGAGGAACTGGACGTATTATGAGCTTGAAGGGACTATTTTATGAGTAATGGTCCGGATTTAAAGATTTTAGGGATATTTTAAGGATTTGGGGGATTAATTTTCATTTTTAGGGATATATTAAGGATTTTAGGTACATATTAAGGATTTTAGGGACATATTACGGATTTTAGGTACGTATTACGGATTTTAGGGACATATTAAGGATTTGAGGAGATACGGATTTTAGGTACATATTAAGGATTTTAGGAAATATTAAAAGGTTTCAGGGTTATATGTGAGGGTTTGCACGTAGGGACCAGAGAGGTTACCATCAAAGGACTGGTCAACGTTTGAAATATGGACGAACATTATTGAGAAGTGTGCAAGAGTTTTGTAGCAAAGAGAATATCCTACCTGTGAACTGTAGCAAGTGAGAGAGAGAGAGAGAGAGAGAGAGAGAGAGAGAGAGAGAGAGAGAGAGAGAGAGAGAGAGAGAGAGAGAGAGAGAGAGAGAGAGAGAGAGAGAGAGAGAGAGAGAGAGAGCCCTAACTCACCAAGGGCTCCGTCAAACTAACACAGTTACTACACTTACACCTGGACTTTCTCAGACTTACTAGAAATATTACCTTCCTACATGCCCTATTGTCTAGAGGGAGTCAGGTGTGGTGGAGGGAGCCAGGTGTGTAGACGAGTCATGTGTGGAGGGAGGGAGGGAGGGAGGTGTGTAGACGAGTCATGTGTGGAGGGAGGGAGTCAGGTATGTAGACGAGTCATGTGTGTGGAGGGAGAGTCAGGTGTGTGTGGAGCAGGTCAGGTGTTGAATAAGGGAGCCAGGTGTGTAGGCGAGCCATAAAAGATAACCTTAAGTTTATTGTGGTGTAATTGATACATAAAGAGAAATGAGAAAAAAATTATAAATGGGAGTTTGTCGTCAGAGTTATTATTATTCCTGTTTTATGGACGAGTGTGGAGGTCAGTCACGCCTCTCTGTCTGTCTGTCTGTCTGTGTGTGTGTGTGTGTGTGTGTGTGTGTGTGTGTGTGTGTGTGTGTGTGTGTGTGTGTGTGGTGTGTGTGTGTGTGTGTGTGTGTGTGTGTGTGTGTGTGTGTGTGTGTGTGTGTGTGTGTGTGTGTGTGTTTGTGTGTGTGTGTGTGTGAGTGTGTCTGTCTGTCTGTCTGATGATAATAATGTCCTGTAGAATTTGACACTGGGTTAGAGTATTACTAATCATGTGACGTCATTAATCAAGTGACGTCATTAATCAAGTGACGTCATGCACCAAGTGACGTCATGCACCAAGTGACGTCATACTCCAAGTGACGTCATGAACCATAGGGTGACCTGAAACGACCTCTTTATGCCCCATGTAGCGTGACCTTACAGTTTAATGGTGCGGAACAAGTTAATAGCACCATTAACTTAGGCTGCTGGCGTTTACTATGATATAATATCGTTGTGTATAAATAAGGAAAAAAAAAATGGTGAAATATCGAGAAGAATTAATCAGGGAGTTTTTTAATATGGCGCCTCGTGTGAGTTACTCTGTGTATTGTTGTGTTATGAAGGTAAATAAATCACTATATTTTGTGCTTTATGAAGGGATGGTGAGTGTGAAGTAATACGGCAGTAAAGTTAATGGTTGGTTAGTAACACCTCTTGTTCCTGATTGGTTAAAAAGAACTTAGGATTGGCTGCCATTGGTTGTTTTTTTTCAGGGGTTTACCATGAGCGAGAACCTAACCTAACCTAACCTAACCTAACCTAACCTAACCTAACCTAACCTAACCTAACCTAACCTAACCTAACCTAACCTAACCTAACCTAACCTAACCTAACCTAATTAGATATTACTAAGAACAGGTAAGGAAGCAAACTATAACTTGAAGGAGTCAAATACGGAGTTGGCAACAGGTGAGCCTAATTAGCCTAGTGAAGTGAGGAAGCAAGAGGCGGTGAGGCGAGGAAACAGGTCTATGTTGAGGCACACCTGGAGAACAACGCCTACAGAGTTAATTAGTTCGCTCCTCTCCCAACTGTTACCTGTACCATGTGACTGGTGCCCCCCCCCCCCCACACACACACACACACACACACATTATAGTAGACAGTCATGTCCTCTGGTTCACTTTGAAGTTCTTATTACCTGATATAATTACCTGCTTATTATACTATATACCCTTGTGTCTTTGTTCGTCTATATCTGTCTATTTGTGTCTTTGTCTAATCTGTGTCTTGTTCGTCTATTCCTGTCTGTCTGTCTGTCTGTCTGTCTGTCTGTCTGTCTGTCTGTCTGTCTGTCTGTCTGTCTGTCTGTCACTCTTACACATACATAATGAGTTGTAAGTTAAAGGAATAATGTTGTATATATAAATAGTGTATCACCTGTATCATGTATCACCTGGATCACCTGTATCATGTATCACCTGTATCATGTATCACCTGGATCATGTATCACCTGTACGAGAGACAAATATTGAGGCGTCATCCTTTAAACTTAATTTTCAGATAATTAAACTCGCCATTTACCTGTGAGTGATGGCTTAAATTAATTTCAAGGTCATTAACGTCTCTAATTACCCCCAATTAATTTTTTGAGGTCGTAACCTTTGATCAGTATTTTGTAAAACAATTATAGCGATATACTGTAGGAAATATGACTGTATATATTATAATCTAAACAATAATTATATAAAGCTATTTAATAATTGGGTAATTTCTTTCATCATCTTAATATAAATACATTTCAACAAGGTGATTAAGGTGAGGTGACAAAAACAAGATAATTATCGGCTAATCAAACATATTAATATCCCTTGAATAATGTGTTAAATTATATTGAAGGTCATTTAATACTGTATGTTTACCTGTTAGTTAAATTGGGTTGGGTTGGGTTAGGTTAGTTTTAAGTTAGGTTAGGTTAAGGTAGATCAAGTTCAGTTAAGGTTTTGTTAGGTCAAGAATTAGTGAGACTCGCTCTTTCTGTTGTTCATCAATGTGTTCGACTGTAAAATAAAAATTAATACTTCTTCCTTTTTACATGTTTCACAGCCTGTCTGTCTGTCTGTCTGTCTGTCTGTCTGTCTGTCTACCTGTGTATGACTGTTTTTAATGTACCGTGTGTGTGTGTGTGTGTGTGTGTGTGTGTGTGTGTGTGTGTGTGTGTGTGTGTGTGTGTGTGTGTGTGTGTATGTGTGTGTCCGTCCAGTTAATGAACATACCTCTAATAGACTATATATTTATTTACTAATTTTTCACCCAAGTTGATGAGAAATGTGTGTGTGTGTTGAGGAAGACTTGAGGAAGACTTACGGAACTTATTTCTTATCTTTCTCACCAGATGAAAAAGTATTCTCAGCGTGTTGTATTTTTCCTCCCGTTCATAAACCAAGACTATAGATCTTCACTATATTTCTCAGTCACTGTACGGGAGTTGGTCAGGTAGGGAAGCCTCATAGACGGGAAGACTTACCCTCATTCTTACGGGAAGATTAAGAACGTCACCTTATTTTACCTGATGATTAAACACCTTAACACTAACCT